AAAGCTTTGGACGTCTACTTCTGTAATGACTACATATGCATCATAGCACTAGTTTTAACGGCTACAGTATCTGTTACGTGAGGTCTCGCTTCACAAAAGCTGATTTATCTCCTTCACCTCGGATGAGTACTGTTTCTATCATTTGTTGCGAGGAACAGTTCCTCAATTACATAAATAACAATGCAAATACATGGCTCATGGCTAGGTAAAAAATCACACTTTTCACATGAAAACTTCAACAAATTATTTTCAGAAAATGTTTCAAGTCAAAAACCTCTTTTAATTTCTCAGTTCTAGAACTTTTTTGCCTCTCACCAATGTGCTAAATCGGTCAAGGATTTCCAATGCCTAATGTAGTAAACAAAGCCCATAACGTGGTGTGCTTGATTAATATATTTTGAACAGAGCACTCCTAAAGTATCCTCCCATCGATTTTTTGTTGATTTGCTTAATTTAAGTATAGTAGAATGTCACTAACAATCCATTCCTGATTAGGAAAAGGTGCAATGTTTATAAATCAAGCTGTGAACAATAAACTTAGCATAAACAATCAATAGTAAAACATACGTGGAAAATGTGGAGGATTTACTCTAACACCCAAAATTTGCTCTATACGGGCCCAGGCTCCTACGATTAGTACTAAGTTTATTTTACGACATGATTATTTTGCACAGTTTACCATCCCTTTTTTAAATACATAGTTCCATGTGTAAAGGTTGCAACAATACAAGACCCGTTTTGTTCTTAATCACTCTTCCCTACCAGAATTTGAATCATTATATTCATTCATTTCGTCTGCATAAGATGTATAATCTAGCCTCTTGAGACATTTTGCCTTAATCTCCTAAAAATGAACTGAGAATGACAGTTTGATTGATTTTCTTTCTGCTCACACAGCCATATTGTTGTTTTCAATGTACAATTCTCGGATGTAGCTTACTTATGATAATGTTAAAACAACTTAGTTTGATCTAGTTTATGAAAATGCAATTAAATTTCTTCTTTGTGCATAGATCGTCCACAGCGTAGAAGTTCTGAATCTGTAGACCTTCACATTTGTATCGCTTGTATTTGTATTCATTCTGTTCACAGTTTAAAAAAAATTTTACGTTTATATTTGTCTCTTAGCTTGCAAGAGAGGTGATTAATGATTTGATAAATGCGTAAGTCCAGTTTCATCCTTAGTTGAAACCAAATTGGAGTAAATTTCAGGCCAATAATGAATCTCTATACACCTTCTAATGGATTATTTGGCACTCATGTTACTTGGGAAGATATAGAGGAGGATATGCAACGAGAGTTAGATACGGTCGCCTCATTTGGGCCAAATAAAACCGTAAAAAATGTGGGAGATGGCAGAGTAAGTTTGTGCACTTTTAGCTTTTTAGTGAATTCTGAACAACGAAAATTGCCTAAGGGTTTTATGTCGCGGATTGCTCTCGTTGAACCTGATTGGCAGCACAAAGATAAGCAGCTCCCTGAAAAATTCATAGTCAAAGTAGGTATCATTTTATAGTTCATTTAGTGTAAAAGAAGCGACGAATTGCTTATGTTTTCCTTTTTTTGATTATAGATTGTTTCTCAACTATCTATGGTGCAGCTTATGAAGGAAATGTCTGAGCTAAATAACGTCAATAACTTTTTCGACAATGATGAATTCAAAATGGCACTGGAGATCCAGCAGAAACGTGTAACTTCCTTTTCTTCCATAAGTAGAGACTAGAATGATTATTCGAGAGTTTATGAAAGTAACAGATGATGTAGTACGAATGATTTCTTTAGTCACTAAGAACACAGGTGTTCATATTCATTTATCACAATAAAACTAGGACATTCTTAATATCATAATTTCCTAACGAATTGAAAGCCTACAGATCCATAACACCGAAGTCAATGTGTACAAACACCTACTACAACTTCCTCAAGGCAAATTTCCTATGACGAAGGTGATCCACATCTCAAAGCATTTTTAAAAACTTTGCTTAAAGTGTTTTCTTTGAGATTTACTGCATGAAGAAATTCTCCGAACATAATCCCGTCAAAGGATATTTGATAATGGACTATATCGAAAACCTCAAACCATTGCACATTTACGATAATGTCCCACCAAAGTCTCTGAAGACGGTAAATTATTCCTGGTACTAAGTTGTTACATAAGTAAAACAACATAATTTTAGGCGCTTCGAGCCAAGGCAGTTATGGAAGCGCTATCATTAAAGTTTACTGATGAGGAGAAGAATGAGTTTACAGATAAACCTTTCAAGGAACTATTTGCTCCGATGTTCACAAAAGATGTAAGTGCTTCACTGCGAAAAGTAGTTATTGTGAGATTGGAAGAGTTAAGGCAGTGGATAATATCGGTAGGAACCTACGGGGATTCGGCACAGATGCGATTAAAGAGAAAGTGGAGAGAATGGAAAAAGTGGTTAAGGATATTCTCGACTTTACTGAAGTGGATCAATTAGCCGATAAATTAGGTAAGTACCTCAACGACTAATTTCATTTATCTGGTAATTTCAAATAGTAAGCGAGTGAGTTTGAGAAAATTTTAATTTACAGACTTTACCAGCCCTACAAAATGATTCACTACTTATTAGATGATTTGAAGAGTCCTCCAAGACCCGACATCTTCTGCAATACTGCCAATTTA